AGATAGACACAAGGAGAGAGAGAGAGAGAGAGAGAGAGAGAGAGAGAGAGAGAGAGAGAGAGAGAGAGAGAGAGAGATCATTGAGGATTCCACACGTGGGCTGAGCTTGATGGGCGAGATGGGGTCCCCTCCAGTCCTGGGCATCGATCTCGGCACCTCGTGCTGCTGTGCGGCAATCTACCGCAACAAGCACGTTGAGATTGTGCCCAACGGGATAGGCTTACGTGTCACGCCATCAGTCGTCGCTTTCGACGGACATAAATGGGTTGTTGGTGAAGCCGCAAAGATGTTCGGAAGGAGGAGGCCTTCGCAATGCATATTCGAGGTAAAGCGTCTGATGGGGCGATCCTTCCTCGATCCCAAGGTCAGCCAACTGAAGTACATGTGGCCGTTTGAACTGGTAGCTGCGCCAAGTGGCGGTGTTCTAATACGAGTCCCAGGGGCGCCGGATAAGGAGCTGTTCGAACCAGAGGAGATTTCTGCGCAGTTGCTGAAGGAAATGAAGCGGATCGCGGAGAATTTCTTGGGCGGTGTTACGATCAAACACGCAGTGATAACTGTCCCAGCGTACTTCAATGACAGCCAACGGGAAGCGACGAAGAAGGCCGGTACTCTGGCGGGACTGGAGGTGCTGCGTTTGATGAACGAGCCCACGGCGGCAGCAGTGGCGTACGGGCATCAGCGTTTGATAGGCGGAGCTTGCGCGGGAAAGAAGATAATGGTCTTCGATCTGGGAGGGGGAACTTTCGACGTATCAATCATAGCCGTGAAAGAGGGAACTAAGGCGGACTGTGACTTCGAGGTCCGAGCGGTGGAGGGGGAATCTCATCTCGGGGGCGCGGACTTCGACAACGCCCTGATCAATCTTGTGGAAGCTGAATACGAGCGTCAGACCAAGCAGATCATTCTCCAAGATCTTCAGGCCCGTGAGATGCTGAGAGAGGCTGTAATTGCTGCAAAGCACTCCCTTTCCTTCGAGGACGACGCGGATATCGAGCTCAAAATCCGTGGGGTGGAGTTCAGCATGTCCATCGAGCGTGCCAAGTTCGAGTCCTTGAACGAGGAGCGGTTTCAAAAGTGCATCGCTGTCGTCGAGAAGGCTCTTCGCGGTGCCGGCATGCGGAGCAGCGACATCTCCGAGGTAATTTTAGCGGGAGGATCGACGCGGATCCCGAAGCTTAAAGAGCTTCTCACAAGGTTCTTCGACGGCAGGAGACCGTTGCAGACCGTGCAACCGGACGAGGTGGTGGCGTACGGAGCGGCGGTGCAGGCAGGACTGCTGGCGCCTGGTTTGAGGAACGATGACAGACCCGCCATAACAGTCACTGAGATCACTTCTTTAAGCATTGGTGTGAATTGTAGCCTGGACGTAATGAGTGTCATTATACCGAAAGGTTCTCGCGTCCCGGCGAACGGATCGACTAGTTTCTTTTGCGGAAGAGACTTCCAGAGCAGCATGTTGTTCAAGTTGTACGAAGGCGAACGCGCTCTGTGTCGCCATAACCGCTATTTCGGCGAGTTCCTTCAAGAGGGCTTCATTCCGTCGCAGGCTAACGGGAAGACAGTCACGAAGGTCGAACTCGAAGTTAACTGCGACGGAATTGTCTGTGCAACGGCGGAGGCGACAGCGAACCACGTGGACGTCGGAAGCAAGGTCGGTTTCCGCGGGGTGCTCCGCAAGGACGGCGCTCTTGCAGCGGCGGTTCCCAATGAGCCGCAGGAAGATTGGGAAGCTACGGACAAGGCGTTAAGGGCAGCTTACGAGTCGCGAAAAGATCTCAAGTTGTTGGCGTGGAAGATCCGAGAGAACCTCTTCCGGAAAATGTCTGAAGCCCAGAAGGCTAAGGTAAATGAGGTGTTGAAGTGGTTAGATAGCGAAGACCATCTTGCAGCGCAGAGTGCTTACGACGCCAAATTAGCTGATCTCACCCGGCTGAAAAACGAGATCCGGACCCCCCGTTGGCGCGGTGCTTCAAAAAACTGAACTGAACAGTTTTTTTGAAGCGCGGAACACATTCGTTGCGCCGGGAGTCCCGCCGATAGAGTATCAGAAAGACTCGAGTTTGTCTTAGCAATGGATGAGACATGTGCAGATGATTAAAGGTGATTTCTGTCCCGGAGGTTGTTTAATTACCATAATATGTGTAACCTGTGTAAAAGTGTATTTTGGCATCCAGTTCGTGTCCCATGGACATGGCTAGCGAGCCTAGCGTAGTAGGGGAAGGAGGAGCGAGACAATATTTTTGAAACTGATAGCTGTCGTTGATGGAGGCGTCACGTTGGAGGGCATCGCTACCGCTCTTTTTGAACTGCATTGGGCACAGTCATGGCGATCGGACACGTCCGGCAAAGCTCGACTGTCTGTGTGCCATTAGACTCTCTGCTTCTTTCCCCCCCTCACCTCTTTGAAAGCGCGACGACCGCGAAGTAGCATCGAGGTTGCCCGGTGATGCTTGCCCGTTGATACACCACCATACCCCTTTCCCGTCTTGTAATGAAGGTTTTTTTTTCTTCTTTTCTTCAAGTAGCGTCATCGAATTGAAAGGACTTCTGTGTCGTGGCTGCGTAATCTGTGTGAAACTGTACTTCGAAGTCTGGTTGTTTTACTGGCAGGATTAGTTGACTTTCGGACCAAGACCTACCGCATGTGTGACATGTAAACCCCACTTTTGCGTGACGTGGGACCCTCCGCAGATTTCTTTCATTTTCGAGGCACGAAAAGTCAATCGTTGTTTGTTTTCTTGGATTCATGTTGTATTGTCTGGAGCATAGCCACACAGCCTCTTGGAACTTGGGGCAGTCAAGAGCTGTCAGACTGGCAGCCTCTTGAAACCTTTTCAAGAGCAGGTCTTGAAAGATTGGAATCCCCAGCCTGCAACTCGTGCATTTTCAAGCGTCCTTGGCCGAACCCTTGAGAGACTATCGATTTTCAAGAGTTGTCGGGCCGTTGTCCTGACGCCATGCGAAAAAAAACAAAGCTGTATGACTGTCGTTTTTCATCCTTGTACAACAGCATCGCCATTTCGAGAGTGCTGTGTGGCGAGGAGCCAAAAACTCTTCAAAACCCAACTCTTGTGAACTTCAGACAGCTCTTGACAAATTTCCCCATTTCAAGAGTGGTGTGCGCCTTGCGCAGAGGCCATGCTAATCTTCTCCTTGCTGTATCGTTCCAACTTCAACGGATGTCCCGAAGGACGGGTCACTCTTTTTCAAGATACGGTACCAATGTGATAAGCCAGGATCTGTACTGAGCAGCTTCTCGTACCCTCAGGGGAAAATCCCACGTAAAGCCTCGGAGTACGGTTTCTAAATAATTGCGAAGAATGGGGTTTCATTTCTTTTCCTTTTTCTTCTTTTCTCTTTTTCCCTTTTTTTTAAACAGAGAGGAGAGACGGGACAGAAACTTACTGCCCCTGATGTCTTTCTCGCGTGGCCGGTTAGCGTCCGTGCCGAGAAATTCAAGAAACAGTTGGGATTTAGCGTGTGTACGAATTTTAGAATTTTGAATATTTGCGCGCGCGGCTATTTTTCAAATTTTTGCGTGCCCCGTAAACCCTTTCTTCCGCTTTGCATCCCCGCGCCAGCTTCCCTTCTTGCCGCGTATCCCCTTCTTGCATGCCTCTTCGTCTTCCCTCGAGCGAAGTCCGATCCCCTCCTTACCCATCCTTGTGAACAATCGGCTGTGTGATTGGGATGGTCGGGTCAATATGGTGAGAGCGGAATGCGTGCCCCACTTGGACAACCACCCCAATCACGCATATCGTTCGACTCGCCTCCTTCGATCCTTCTGGCACCTCTGACCTTCTTCTGTCCTGCTCATCTACACCCCGTGCTTCGTGCTGGCTCTCCGATGCCTTCCGCGCTATAAATTCTTGCAATCCCTTCCTCTCGCTCTCTTTTATCTCAGCTGCAATGCTGTGCACGCACTGCGCGCTATGCGCGAGGTCCGCAGCGTCAAACAGGCTTGACGAGCCCAAGTGACGGGCGGAGTGACGACGAGACTTCAGGTAAGACAGTGGGAGGGACTGAGCTGTGGTGGAGATCGGATGCCGACAGAAGTAGGGCCTGGTGGCTATGGTTGTCAGTGGTTCTGACAGATTGGCGGCTAGGCCCAGGGCCGCCAGTCGTGCGAGGAATTTTCTATACTAAGGAGCTCACTTTTATCTCCATTGCTGCTTTGTCCCAGTGTAATGTGTGCAAAGTCCCGATATATGGGTATTCAGTTGTATGCATGTTGCGCTATGAGAGTTTATGGATGTTGGACGTCTCATTGTCCAGGAGGACTTTCAGAGTACGCGTGTGTGTGCGCTTTCAGGCGTGATGATAGGGATTGTTGGGTGTCGACCGTCTGCATGAGTGCATGAGTGTGTTGGTCCCTCCTCCCTTCCCGGAGCCCCTTTTCACACTTAAGGCCACATGTATGTGCGGGACCACTCGCACACCTCTTTCCGCTCCCCCTCCCATCCGAGCGACGAAGGGTCCGGGCAAAACGGGCGGGCTTAGCCCCGCAATTTCACTCAATAACCATTGCGATCATTCGTCCTTGTCCACGCGACGCGGCAGATCTCTTTGCGACTCGGCCAAACCCCGGATCCCCGGCCCAACACTCAGGTTGACACAGAGAGAGAGAGAGAGAGAGAGAGAGAGAGAGAGAGAGAGAGAGAGAGAGAGAGAGANAGAGAGAGAGAGAGAGAGAGAGAGAGAGAGAGAGAGAGAGAGAGAGAGAGAGAGAGAAAGAGAGAGAGAGAGAGAGAGAGAGAGAGAGAGAGCAAGGCAAGATTTCGTCAGTCGTCGCATGGAGCCAGCTTTCGTCTCGGCGGACGCGAGCGTGGGCCCCTGTCCGAATTCGACCTTCGTATCGGTCCATTGCAGCGTGCTGGGGACCTTCCCCATCGCAGACGATGACAACGTGTCAACGTGTTCTGCGACGCGGACCTGTGGGCACTCGGGGACGAACTGAGCAAGTTCATTTGTATAACCCCGCCACGGGCCGCCAGAACCTGTCATATTGGAGGAATTGGGTTTGTGTTGATCGATAGGTTCTCTTCCCTACGTCCTGATCGCGCATGGGAATGCTTTTGCAGCCACCGTTTGAAGGTTGTGTAGCGGCCAGACTGGTGGGGACGCTCTGTCACGCTCATCTTGACATCTACGAGGCCGACAGTCGTCTGAACGCCATGTACCCCTTCCTCGTCCTCGAGGTGCTCAGGAGGGAGCGGAGGTCGTATACCGAGACCCATATGGTGATGACAGGTCCCGGGAATTGCCCGGTGCAACGATGGGTCGTACAGGCCATCAAAGATCTGGCGCCACGTGTCCTATCATATGTGTCGGGGGCCTTTCTTTACCCCTCCTTCGTCCAACACCACTTCGACGAAGTGGAGGAGCCGACGACTCCGGCTGCGCTAACAGCCTTTCTTCCCCCTCTTCCTCCCCCTCTCAACCCTGAGATCAACCACTTCCTTTGAACTTCTTTTAAACAAAAAAAAAAAAAAAAACAATTTTGATGACGATCGGTCACTTACCAATCGGGCCAGCTGACGACGAAGAGGCCTCCTTATCGGGTGAACAATAGGGGGACAGATCAACAGCGATGCGGAATGCATCGAAGTAGACAAGGCGATGGTCTGGGCCAGCTGACGAAGAAGTGGCCTCCCGGATCCTCAAAGTAATTAGGACACCTATAGAACAGTTAGGAGACTGCTAAGTTTTCAGAAACCCTTGCGCATCACAGATGTGATAAACATGGATCCATACTCAGCGGCTTCCCGTACCCTCAGGGGGAAATCCCACATAAAGCCTCAAAGTAAGGGTTCTAGATAATTGTGAAGAACGGGGTTTCATTTCTTTTCCTTTTTCTTCTTTTTTGCTTTTCCTTTTTTTTAAACCGGAGGAGGGATGGAACAAAAACTATTTTTTTTTTCATTTAAGGACTGCCCCTAATGTCTTTCTCGTGTGGCCGGTTAGCGGACGGGCCAAGAAATTCAAGAAATAGTTGGGAATTAGGGTGGGTAGGAATTTTGCGCGCGTGACTGTTCTTCAAATTTTTGCTCGCAGCGTAAACCCTTTTGCACGCTTTGCATTCCCGCGCCATCTTCCCTTCTTGCCACGCATTCCCTTCTTGCATGCGTCTTCGTCTTCCATCGAGCGAAGTCTGATCCCCTTCTTACCCATCCTTGCGAAGGATTGGCTGTGTGATTGGGATGGTCGGGTCAATGTGGTACAGTGGAAGGCGCGCCCCACTTGGACGACCACCCCAATCACGCAAATCGTTCGACTCACCTCCTTGGATCTTTCTGGAACTTGTGCCCTTCTTCTGTCCTGCTCATCTAAGCCCCGTGCTTCATGCTATCTCTCCGCCGCCTTCTGCGCTATAAATTCTCGCAACCCTTATTTCTCGCTCTCTTTGATCTCGGCTGCAATGCTGTGTGAGCTATGCGCAAGGTTCGTTTCGGTTTTCGATTTTAAGCTCATGATTGACTGCGAATTTGAACATGACTCCAAGGCAAAAGTTGCTCGTATTGTTATGTTACATAACATATATCGTTTCCTGATTTTTCTGAGTTTTTTTTTTTTTTTTTTTTTTTTTTTGCGCGCTAGGCCAGACAACCCCTGTCTGATCGGACGTCCGACCTGACGTCCGGTCGGACATCCCGGACGGTCAGGGGGGCTCCGGGGGGATTCATAGTCGCAGCGTGCTGCCAACCTTTCCCATCGCAGACGACGATAGTGTGTACTGCGACGTGGACGTGCAGAGCGCTCTGCGACAAACTTAGCAAGTTCATTTGTATAACCACGCTAGAGCCAGTCATATCGGAGAAAGTGGGTTTGTGTTGATCGATTGGTTATCTTCTCCTCCTCTGGTGTTGCTCTACACCGATCGAACTGTGTTGCCCTGGTCTGCGGCCCATGCCACGTGAAGACATTGGTTTAACTGTCGCAGGTATCGTCACTGGTATTCGTGCTCCTGGCGAAGTCTAGTCATGGGATACTAATGTGCGGCTCGATTCCCACAATTTCCTAGAACTCTCCATCAACGTGGGCGCGCTCCCGGCTAACT